CAAATTTTGGATCTCCCCTTGCTTAGATAACCTATTTGGTTGAATATATATATATATATATATATATATATATATATATATATATATATATATATATATATATATATATATATATATATATATAGTATATATATATATATATATATAGATATATATATATATATATTATATATATATATATATATATATATATATATATATAATATATATATATATATATATATATATATATATATATATATATAATATATTATATATATATATATATATTATACATATATATATATATATATATATATATATATATATATATATATTTATGTTAACAAGGCCGGCGCGATAGGGGTGTATGGGGTGTTACACTCTCTCATCTATGATTTTAAGTCGGCAAATTTGACCCTTTTTGACTAGTTTGTCGGCAAATGTAGACTCTGTCAATAGGTTAGTCGGTAAATTTGGACAGTCAGTCGGCAAATGTCGTCATAGCAGTCAGCAAATTTTCAAAAACGTGGACCTTTTTTTTTTTTAGTCGGCAAAAGTTGTAATGGCACCTCCCCCCACGTGACACCTACTCGGGCCGGTCCTGTATGTTAACTCACTTCCAGGTAAGTTCTAAACTCGATATAAGCGGTGTAGGGCAGAGCCTGGTTGGGCGATCACCCAGGGCGCCGAAATGAAAGGGGCGAAATTTAGTGGAAAATCATTATTATGGTAACTCGAGATGCGATTGCATTTATTTTTAGTTAGTGGTATTGTGAACATCGTGGTGAACAGACGCGTTTTTCTTACAGTAAAATAATTTAAAAAATTTTTTTTATCTTGTCTAATAAAATTTGGAATGTCTAAATCAGAAGAATTAGTCTCAGTTTCTATGATGAGAGAACTTCTTAATATTCAAAAAGAAACAATTTTATCTTTTTTCCGTGAATCACTATTTAGCATAAACGAAAAGTTTGATAACTTTCAATCTAGTTTTCAAGAAGTTCGGCGAGAACTTGATGAAATGAAATCTGGCTTAAATTTTGTTGGAGATGTTTTTAATAATAAGGCTAGAGCAGTCGAGGAAAAAATTAATAAAGTTCATGACGATTTATCAAATGTAAGAAAAATGCAGGGTAAAATATCTTCGGACAATATTGAATTAAAATTAAAAAGCGTCGATATTGAAGACCGTAACAGAAGAAATAATTTAGGAATTGACGGGATCGTTGAAAATAGTGAAAAAAAAGATTGGGAAATCACAAAAAAAAAAAGGGTAAAACAACTATTTAAAGATAACCTTGATATTGAAAAAGACATTATAATTGAACGGGCTCATCGAGTGGGAGCAACTAATGATAAACGAGAGCGAACAATCGTCTTGAAACTCCGTGATTACGAGGATAAAAAAACAATTATGGAGAGAGCAGTTAAATTAAAAGGAACCAATATTTTTTTAAACGAATATTTTAGTTTTACAACTCGAAAATTCGAAAAGAACTTTTTGAGCAGGCGAAGATTCATCGTCAAAATGAACACAGATGTTAATCCTACATGCGTCAACGAGTAAGCATTTTGAGTATTTTTTTTTTATTATATTGAATATTTTTAAATTAGTTATTTTCAAAAAAAAAACTAAAAAATGGCGTCGCTTTTTTCAGAGAAATTAGATTTTCATAATTTAAATTTAGATCTTTTTGAGGACAACTTTATGAATAATCTATCTGAAGAAAACATAAATATTTTTCAAGAAACTCAAATCAACTTAATTAACACACCGTATATTGATCCCTTTAATTTTAAAGTAAAACAGATGATTGTTCATTTTCTGTATTACACATAAACATTAGAAGCATGCAGCAAAATTTTGATAAACTTAAAGAATTTTTAAATATTTTAAATTACACGTTCGACGTCATATCTCTTTCAGAGACTTGGCATAATACAGAAAGTACTCTTGAATTAAATTCTAATTATACTTTACCATTTTACAAACTAATTAGTCAACCACGAGGTGGTGGGAAAAAAGGAGGGGGATTAGGAATTTATGTCTTGGAAAAGTATGCTTTCAAGATAAAAAACATACTATGCTTTTCGAATAATAATTATGAAAGTCTTTTCATTGAAATTATTAATAAAAAATACCGAAAGGTTTTAGTTGGATGTGTTTATCGTCCACCGAGTGGAAAAATAAAAACCTTCGAAACTTTTATCAAAAATACGATTATAAAAATAAATAAAGAAAATAAAACATTATATATTACTGGTGACATAAATCTTGATGCTCTTTCTAACACAAAATTTCCAAAAATAAAATCTTTTTTAAAAATGTTATGAATGGAACATTCTTGCAGTCCCAATTAAGGACATTTTATGTGTTGTGGATGAATCAATTCTTGTTTCAAAGAAACTTTATAAGCTAAATTATGTGGCAACTGTTGTTGCATTGGAAAAAAAATTTAAATGATTTTTTAAGTCAGCACGTGGTTTAAAGATGGCAGATGTTCTAAAAGTGATCATCTTAAATGATTTTCTAATCTACTTTAGTTTATAGTAAATTCAGAGTCAGTACCTTAGATTAGGGTGAAACTTCGTATTAACTTCGTATTGTAGGGCTTTAGTATTCTTAAATATTGTTAAGTAAAACCATAAAGTAACTTTTTTATTTTTTCAAGTAAACGCCATATGAATTGTGAAGCTAATTGATATACTTTTAATAGTAATATTTTGTTATATTTTCAGGATAAATTTCTTAAACAAATCATTTTCAGAAGAATTTTTTTAAACGAATCATTTTCAAAACCGAGCTATTAGTTAGTGATATCATATCTTTAAAATATTTTCTTTGTTTTGTCAAAATTTCAATGATAATGTTGATTCTTACAACATTAACATTTACAATATAAAACATACTACTCTCAGTTGAGCCCCAATAACAAAATTAGTTATCGATCAATAGTACTAGATAACTAATTAAATTCTTTATCAGTTTCAAAACACATTGTAAACACATGGTAGTCACATAGAAAGATTGCATGCCAAATTTACAAAATTACGCTTTACCCTGGTATATATATATATATATATATATATATATATATATATATATATATATATATATATATATATATATATATATATATATATATATATATATATATATATATATATATTTTTTTTTTTGACATAATACGTAGTATTATTTAAAAATAAATATACGTAGTAAGTATAAGTTAAAAACAATATTATAAATAATACGCGACGTTACTACGCATTTTGTATGTATGGATGCTAGGTAGAGATTTGTGTATTTTCATATTTATTATTTCAACATATGGTGTTCAATTTATGGTTGTTTGAAATATTTTGCTAATATAAATCAGTTTATCGTTTCTATTTTATTTTTTTAGATCAGAAAAATCAGCTAATGGAAATGAAGATATATTTTAAAGCATTTGTACAGGATACAAAACAAAATCTTTTGAAAAAAGATGAAATGTATGGAAATCAACGTTTTGAGTTATTGCGTCTAATTAAACATAGAAAAAGTTCAAAGCGGGAAACGCTTGTATAATTTCTGCTTTGTTTTATAATAATTTAAAATTAAAAAAATTGTTTTATAATAACATTTATGAATTTTGTTTGATTGTTTTTTTGTTAGGGTAAGGTCTTTAAATAATGTATTTGAAATTTTTTACAATACTCTTTTCAGACTATTTACAAATTAGTCCCTTAACACCCAGGCCCGGACTGGCCCACCGGGAAATTTCCCGGTGCGCCCCACCATTCCACTATGCGTTGCTCTTATAGAAAATGAGGAAATAGGCATATAAATAAAAAAGGACTTAAAATATTTAACTTATTTTTTCACAACACATCGAATTTTTATTTATATTTCTATATTTAAAAGAATCATATTCGGTTTTCATAAAAAAACAATTTATTGTATTTTTTTTCGGTTAGTCCGGACTAATTTTAGATTTGTCCGGAAAACTACACAAGTCCGGATGATTTTATTTAAAAGTAGGCGCCTATATTTTATAGAATTTTACAAACTATGTATATGAACACTATTTCAAAATAAACAATATCATTGAATATAATAAACAACTCTGCTATCATATGATACTTGGCTTTTTGCATTCTTTCACAGTTTCTCATCGTTCTATTCTAATAGATGTTTTTAATAACTTGTGGCTATGAAAATAGCCGTTTTTTAAAAATTCAACGCAGAACTGCGTTGAATTTTTAAAAAACGGCTTCTTTCTTACTTCCTAAAATAGTTAATTACTTGTTAAAATTGATTAAAATATTTCTTAAATTTATTTTTAAAAACATAAAAAAAAACAAAAAAAAAAAACGCAATTTTGAATTGTTAATAAACCAAAATTATGAGATTGCCTAACCAAAAAAAATCAATCAAAACTATTAACAATATTAATAATAAAAATATTTTACCTTTATTTTAAGCAGTTATCAGAAGAACTGTCACTTTGCTTTCTTAAACTATTTTGTTTTCACTCTTTTTTTATTCATTTTATTTTTTTTGCAAAAAAGGTACATATCAGATGTCATAAACAAATAATTAGCTGTATTCCTAGTGTTTTCTGCAAAAGAGGTTAAACGAGCATGACCAATTCGAGCAGTTTTGTTTTCCTTATTTCTGGCTTCAATAGCACTCTCAGACAAAGAACCTATCGGATACTTAAAATACCTTATAAAAGAAGTACCATGAACTATCACTCTATGCACAGATTGTGACATAGGTATGGTTTTTAAAAATTTATCATTAGTTATCAGTGCAAATAGATGTTCAGATTTCTGTTTGAAAACCTTTATATCCGGTCTTGTAGTTGTTCTGTTTATATCAATGAGTAAATCTCGAAACAACCTAATCATTCTGATATCCAAGTTTATAATTCTCCCTGTCACAATCGAGTTATTAAAAAATTTGCGAGCAACATTTCCAGTATTGGTTGTTCCACATCCTTTCCTGACAAAAGAAACCCTTATATTCAGTTGTATCTTGAATAAATGCTGGAATTTTTTTTTGTTTTCAATAAATTCTTTACTCTTTTGTGATGAAATATTTCTTCCTTGTTTAACAGCTGGGGAGTTTACAAGCAGTATTGAAAATCCACTTCATACAGCGCATCCATAGATGAAGACTGCAAATTCTAAGTTTCAAAACATGCTTGTTTAAATTAATATTTTTTTTCCAAATAGTTTTCAAGTTAAACTCCTTAGAATTTGCAAGGCATACATGGCAGGACGAAATGAAATATTTTTTTAAGCATATTTGATACAACAGCGTTTAGTGTTTTGCCATCATTCATTGTGGTATAAATAGTTGACAAACTAGACTTTACTACAAAAGTACTTTCACGAAGTTTAAATTCAATATTCTTCAATAAAAAAATTTCATTTTTCAAATGTTCAAATTTTTCCTGAATAAAACTATCAGTCTCTTTTGCAAAACAAAAATGAAGATGACGGGTTGCATCTGGACTATTTGGAATTAAATTTTTCCATATTATTTTTTCTCCACTTCGGATCTCCAGCAGTACAAACACTATACTATACACAGAGCGATCATCTACACCTCTTTTCATAGTTACTGAATTTTGAAACTCAGATTGATCACTTTGACCATCACCTCCTACTTTGCAAATAATTTGTACATTATAACGCTCTTCTTGTGATAAACTCATTATGCAGTTACTTTCATAATCCAAAAGATATTCAAACACTCTAGAAACTGAATGCTTTATCGTATGGAAAAGACTACATTTTACTTCGGTTTCAGAATATTCAACCTGTTCTGGATATGTCAGTTTTTTGTATTGCTTCAACTTGGTTAAACCTGGAGAAACAAGATGACAATTATGAATCACTATATTTTTAAATTCAGTCCATGTTCTATCTGTAAGTTTTAAATTACATAGAGCTTGCAATGACAAATTTGAACCATATAAAATAGCCCTACCATCAGTAGAAGAATTAGATTTAAACCTTTTGACAGCATGTTGCAGTTCTTCCACCTCTCGTTCTCTAAGACTATCTGTTCTTTTACGCTTCATCCTGTTTGTAAGCTTAATAAAAGACTTTCTAGGTTTTGGTGTACAAGATGTATTGACTGCAGATGATTTAGGTACTCAACATGGTACACTATAAATAATAAAAAATACATTGAAACATATATACATTTTGAAGGTTTTGTGAAACATAGTCAAACAATTTGTATGTGTGTGTGTGCAAAATAAAGAGAGGGAGATACATTTATCTATGCATACCTGTTTACACTGGATCCTCTTCTTTTATTTTACGCTCACCCTGCTTGATAAGTTGATAACCCTGTTTAATCAGATTTTCACCTTTTCTAATTAATAGCAGTTCTTCCTCATGTGTTCTAATCTCTTTTTCAGAATCTTTTTCTAATCTACACGCACAAGTATAATATATATATATATATATATATATATATATATATATATATATATATATATATATATATATATATATATATATATATATATATATATATATATATATATATATATATATATATATATATATATATATATATATACTATAATGCAATATTTATTACTTATTTATAATAAATCAATATAGAGTATATTATACTCACAAGAGATATTTGCATTGTTGATTTTGATCCAAAAAATGTTTATATTTAGTAAGAAAGAACTTTTTTCTTTTTCCACACTCATTAAATTAAAAGCCAGACTTTTGAAAATGTTGAAATTCACAGTGCAATCAGCATAAAGTGATAAAAACTTGGACAGCAAAAATAAAGCACATTCAGATACATTTTTACTCGTGAAAATATGCCTTGGAAGAAAATCATCAGCCAGAAGTTTGCTAAGATTAAAAGTAACCATTTTTGAAAAATTCTAAATCACGATGAGAGCCAAACTTAGGTTATAACTTAAAGACTAGAATCGCCCCCATCCAGTTTTTTCTTGACAAAAACTAACTAACCAATTTTTAATAAATCCACCTCTTTTGAATTGATTCTATAGCATGTTACTACAGAGGTAGCCAGAATATTATTTTACTTATAAAAAGTCAATTTGTTTGAGAAAATTTAAAAAAAATAAAAAACTGGCTACCTCTGTAGTAACATGGTCTAATCGATCAATCTTTACAGACACTCAAAAACAATGATCCAAACATTTATTTTTCTTTTCTTGGTTTTTAATTTACAAAATGTATCATTTATTAGCAAATGTGCACAAAAAAAAGAAGAAATTTGAAAATTATCTTATGTAATTTAAAGATTTAGTGAAAACATGGGTTTTTTTTACCCCCGAAAATCCCGCACCTAAAAAGGCAAATTTAAAAAAAACTTTTTTTTATTAACTAATACTAACTTGTTTCAGTTAAAAAATATTTAAAATATTAAAATTGAAATTTTTTTTCTGAAAAGTAAAATCCTATTTCCGCTTCGCGACGCATAGTGCAGCGCTGGTAACTATAAAATAAAACTAATTACGTGTATATTCTGATATTTATATTTAAATAATAATATTCTTTTCTTTTTCATTACGATAACTTCCTGGTATTATTTTTTGATTGATGTCATTTTGCATACTTTGAAAAACTCATCACTTTTAAATGATTAGTCACGTAAAACCGCACTAATATGCAAACGATTCTCGAGGTCTACAAGTGATGGGTAATAAATGTTAAGGAAACTTTCCAACATAAAAATATATTAAATAACAATCATGTAAACTGATAATCAATGAACCATGAAGCCTGATAATTTTAGGACTAGTTTTAAAAAATATATATGTACAAAATATGTACAGCATTGGACAAAACATTTGCAACCAACATTGTGCAATGCTAAAAAGTGTTCCTAATTTTACGTCTTTTAAATGTTTTTGGTTTGTTTCATTTTCTTGAGTCTGGTCCGTGACAACGTCACGGAAGTTTTTAAATAATCAAAGGAAGTATCCAGAAGTTTCCAGAAGCATGCAGAAGCCTCAAGAAGTTTCTAGAAGAAGCATCTGGAAGCATCGAAAAGCATCCAGAAACATTCAGAAGTATCTAGAAAGATCCAGAAGCTAATCTAGAAGCATCCAGAAGCTTCCAGAAGCATCTAGAATCTTCCAGAACAGGTTCACACAGGTTCATTTTACTATATAAGAGACATGTAAACCGACATGTAATTCATTCAGTATATGGAAGTCAATCAGTCAATATTATCAAGACAGTTTATCGAAGTGAGTTTTATCAAGGCGTTTTATCGAAGAACATCAATATAAGAAGTGAAATACAACAAGTGTTTCATTACATCAATACAGTCCACATCCAACCAAGACGTTGTGTTCCACAGAGCATTATTGTATCATCACAAGGTAAATGTAACATGATAAGCGTGATTATTTATTTTTATCATTTTTATGACTTCAAGTGCGATAATGGCTCCCGATAGCCTTGGATTGGAACTAAGAAATAAAATTATTGGCGATTACGTAACTGGAATGTCACAAAAAAGTATTTGTGATAAATATCGCGTGAAAAAATGGACCGTATCAAGACTATGTTCCAAATATCGCTCTACGGGGAAGTTGGCAGCAGATAACAAGGTGAAAAAATAAAAAAGGTGGGAGACCGCGTTCCACCACTTCTAGAGAGGATTCTATGATCGTCAGATCCGTCAAGAAGGATCCCTGGATATCATCAGTCAAGATACAAAAGCAATTAGAGCTGCCTGTATCGGACAAAGAAACCGCTGATTTCACTAAATAACCAGAAGAAAAGACTCCTGTTTGCCACATCTCATATTGACTGGAATGTGCAGAAATGGCGAACTGTCTTGCTCAGTGATGAATCGAAGTTCAACATCATTGGGAGGGGTGGCATTTGCCATGTACGTCGACCGGCCGGAAAACGTCTCGATTTACGTTACTGCCATAAGACCGTGAAACATGGTGGAGGCAATATGATGGTCTGGGGGTGTTTTTCTGCTAACGTTCTGGGTCTAATACATTGAATCGATGGAATAATGGACCGTTTCATGTATAAAAATATTCCGGAAAGATGTTAAGTTACCTCATGCTGAATGGAATATGCCAATAAAATGAGTTTTTCAGCAAGACAAAGATCCGAAACACACTGCAAAAGTAGTCAAGCTGTGGTTTCAAGACAACCAACTATCGGTGATGGATTGGCCGCCTCAATCTCCGGATCTCAACCCTATCGAGAACCTGTGGGAGATCGTCAACCGCAGAATTAATCGTGAAGGTGTTCGTAATAAGGATCAACTGTTTGAACAAAACCAAAAAGCCTGGGCAGCGATTCCACAAAGTTTCATTGATCACCTGATCGAATCTATGCCTCGAAGATGCAAGGCTGTGATCGACAACAAAGGATTCGCCACGAAATATTGATAGCGAAATACAGCTTGGTCAACATTTTGTGGAGTTGCACTTGTTTTGTCCAGAAGGAAATTGATTTTTTTAAATACTTTTGATTAATTTATTAATTTTCGTGTACAAATAATGAACTTTATGATGAATAAAACATGAAGAACGTTGTCTCTAAACAGTTACATAGTTATTTCTCTTAATTGAAAAAATGCAGCACTTTTATATAAAGAAACTAAATTAGCATTATTTGCTTACACTTGTTTTGTCCGATACTGTATATATTTAAATATTTTTTAAAGAATCTACAACATATATTATGCCCCTGCTCAAAATTGCGCCCCACTGAGATTAACCCCAAGACTGTTGTTAACCCCACTATTGTTGAACGTAAAAGTTAATAATAAGATTTTGACAAAAATTTGAATAAAGTTTAAACCATATCAAACTTACTTGCACTATTATAATTAAACCATAACAAACTTACTTCCGCTATTATAATTAAACCACATCAAACCTACTGCCACTATCTTAATTAAACCATATCAAACTTACTTCCACTATTATAATTAAACCATTTCAAACTTATTGCCACAATCTTAATTAAAATATAGTAATAAAGTTGCTAAATTTAGATTGTCAGATATGTAATTAAATTAATTTAGATCTCCTGTCTCCGTTTTTTAAAATCTAAATTTAACGTAGTTAAATTAATATAGATTTGTTGTTAGATACGTAATTAAATTTAATTAGATCTCTTGTTAAATATGTTATTAAAACAATTTAGATCTCTTATTAAATATGTAATTAAAATTATTTAGATCTTTTGTCAGATATGTAAATAAATTTAAGAAATCTATTTAAGTAGCGATAAAAAGGATATAGATTCCATTCTAATTCTTGCTTCATAACACCCGAAAGTATAAGTTCCACATTGTAAACATCTATAAAAAAAAAAAAGTTCAACATTGTAAGCATTTGTAAGAAAAAAAAAATTCAACATTGTTTAAAAAAGAAAGTTTTTTAGTTAATAAGAAAAAATAACTCAAAAAATCTCTAGGGCTCTAACCCTTAATAATCGTATGTTAATTTACACTTCATGGTAAATGAACTAAGAATATTTTATTTTTACTAATGACCCGTATTACAGGTTGTTAACTGTAGTAATAATAATACTTTTTTAGGACTAGGACCAAGGCACCAGTTTAATTAACATATTTGTAATCATTAATTAATTTAATACTTTTTACTTATATAATTTGAAAAGTAACGTTTTATACTACCTAGCATAATTGATTTTAATTTGAGAAAGGTAATACTAGGTTACAATAAGTAAAAAATTATGTTTCCTGAATCAGAGAGAAAACAGATGAATAAAATGAGGTAAGTTTTCAAAAATTGTTTCTTTACTTAATTGCAATTATTGCAATATAGCCAAAAAATAAAGAGAACTAGACTTAATTTAAATAAATAAAATTCGAAAATCTGAAATGGAAAGAAATGAAAGTGTTATTGTAAAGGATTCCAAGAATCATCTCAAACATCTACAAACTTAATCCTATTATTCCTCAATATTATTACTAAACCCAGTAATTCCTCCTGTGAGTAGTTACATCTACATAAAGCAAAAGAGAAAACTAAACATTAAGATCAAGCATAGATTAAAAAGATGTTTTTGACTTTCATGAAATTCAAGTTGCCAAGTTTTTTTTCATGCAAAATGCTTTTAAAGCTGTGGAAAATATTAAAAATTTGTGAAGATTTTTAGACCTGATCCTCTAAACTGGAAAAAACTTTCAGCAGAATTACTGGATAAAAAACTTTCAGCAGAATTACTGGATAAAAAAACTTTCAGCAGTGTCAGAAATGACCCAGTTCACAGTAGTGACAGAAATGACCCAGTGTCAGAAATGACCCAGTTCACTGTAGTTTCAGAAATGACCCAGTTCACAGTAGTGTCAGAAATGACCCAGTTCACAGTAGTGCCAGAAATGACCCAGTTCACAGTAGTGTCAGAAATGATCCAGTTCACAGTAGTGTAAGAAATGACCCAGTTCACAGTAGTGTCAGAAATGATCCAGTTCACAGTAGTGTCAGAAATGACCCAGTTCGCAGTAATGTCAGAAATGACCCGGTTTGCAGTAGTGTCAGAAATGACCCGGTTCGCAGTAGTGTCAGAAACAATCCAGTTTACAGTGTATATAATGGGAGGACCCCATATTTAATCTCTAATATAAATGCAGAAATCCAAAAAAAAAACTTCAGAACATTGTGTACAGTTAGTCGTTTGTGCAATAAAACACATCATGAAGGTTGTTACATCATGAAGGTTTATGAGCAAAATGTAAGTATACTAATACTGAACTGTATCATAGTAAATGAATAAAATTAAAAGCTCCAAATAGCAAATAAATAATATATATATATATATATATATATATATATATATATATATATATATATATATATATATATATATATATATATATATATATATATATATATATATATATATATATATATATATAACTTGAATATAAATAGGAAAATTTATTTGCCAACAGCCATCAGGTACTTGCCAACAAAAAGAACAAAACGATGAAAGAAAATATTAAGGAGGAATATCCACATTTACTGACATATTTTATACCTTGGTTTTGATACACACAATAAACTAAAACAAATAATTTAAAAAATACTTTTAGCTATATGAACTTTTTTTTTATTCTAAAAGTCCTATAAAACCTATAGGACTTTTTGAAGAGAGGATCGTATTCTTTGTTAAGGAGTGCTTAATCCAAAACTACAGCTTTTTATATGCGAAGAAAATATATTACTAATCAAATACATTAAAGTAAAACAAACAATAAAACAAAATATTCATCTAAAAAAAATAATCATATTTTGTAATTTATTTGATTATTTCCAGAAATTCTTAACTTCATTAAGCTTAATGGAGTGATGATAAAGAAAAGTAATTAACAACTTTTACCGTAACCATTATTTGATAGCTCACTCCAAAATTCCTTATCGTCCATACATGACACTAAGTAACTATTATGTGTACGATCCTATAATTTAAGCAAAATAACTATTATGTGTCCTATAAGTTAAGCCAAGTAAATATTATGTGTACAGTCCTATAAGTTAAGTCAAGTAAATATTATGTGTATGGTCCTATAAGTTAAGCCAAGTTAATATTATGTGTACAGTCCTATAAGTTAAGCCAAGTTAATATTATGTGTATGGTCCTATAAGCAAATCAAATAAAATGATAAAAGTTTGAAAAAATAAATAAAAACTAAAAAAGGCAACCTGAAGACAATTTGCAACAAAAATGGTGTGAATATCTTTTAAAGTGTTAATTTCTGACATCTACAGAAAATATAACAGCAATTAAAAAAAGAAAATACAAGTATGTACAGTAAAAAAATGTGTATTGATTGATCCAAGATGTCGGTAAGCAATGTTTACAAAACTTGAAGCCATTGCTTACAAACATTTTAACTTGTTTAATAAAAACATCAAGGAGATTGTATTTTTCAGTGTCTTTATGAGTTTTAACTAATTAAAAAGTAGAACTACAGATGCTATTATGCTATTATGCAGAATATATAAAACATATATATATATATATATATATATATATATATATATATATATATATATATATATATATATATATATATATATATATACACACACTATATTTTGAATTTAGAATAAAATTTCTGCGTATCTAACGAACCTAAATAATAAAAATGACTGGTAAAATGATTATAATAAATATTAAACATGTTAATAAATTTTAACTGACAAAACCGAAAATCATTTTAAATGAATATAATATGTGATAAGTTTAAAAGAAAAAGAAGTTATTTTGTTTGTTACAAAATAACCTTTTTCACATAAAATGTTCTTAGAGCAATGCCAACATGCTTATATATAACCTTTGGAAGAAAAACTTCAGCGATAATCAATTTATTGAAAACTTTTATTGATAAAAAACATTTTTCCACAGCTGTTTATCAAATGTTACATACATTATTATATTATATCAATATATCAAAGTCTTTTGAAGAAGAAACAATTCATTTTTGAATAAAAAGTTTTTATTTCAAATGATTGCATACAGGTGACCAATTGAGAAGTTTCAGTCAGACAAACGCAGGATAAGTGGTTCTAAGTACAGAAAGCCATTGAAATAGAGCCATTCAATAAGAATTCACAAGTATAGATTTAGGAAAGAAGTAGGTACTGTTTTTAGAAGAAAAATAACCTCTATGATGGGGTAAAGGAGGGGGGGGGGGTAAAGGACATATATGTATTATATGAACTTTATTAATATTATTAATTTTGTTACAGATAATTGAAGTAACATAAAAAATAAAAATAATTTTTAAAATTTCTTCATTTAAATCTGGAAATCCAATATTGGTAGAATAAATTGAATATTTGACTATAAACACTGGTGGTTTATAGTCAAATATTCATTCAATTTATTCTACCAATTGTCGGGGTTCTTAAGTCAAAGTTTAGGTGAAAAATAAAAGTTTTATTTGAGAACCTTCCTGTCTGTCTATTCATCTGATTTGAGAACCTTCCTGTCTGTCTATTCATCTGATTTAAATAGAGATTAAGTCAACCTTTAAAACATCTGTTAACTTAACTCTAATAAACAAACTTTATCTGAGATCAAAGTAATCTTTTCCATGGGTTTTGACAATCGGAAAGTAATTTTGAAAGTTGGAAAGCAACATTTATGTTTTAAGATTTCATTTTAATTTAAATAAACAAGAAAAATTGTTTGAAAGACAATATTTCAATAAATTTGCCAGCTCTTTTGTTCTTCAATATTATATCAGCGCTTTTCCAATTTTTTAAGTTTTATTCATTATTATAATTTCCTCACAATACCGGAAATTTTCATTTTCATTTTGGTTTCTCAGATTGGTTCCAGTGAGGCAGATATACACAATTTAACATGAAACATTCTATTTATTTATTTTTTTATTTCTATATTTGAAAAATAGAAAGTTAATTTTTAATCAATTTTTTTATAAAACTAATTTAACTAAAGTTTCACTAGATAGAACACTTATTCACACATAAATACTAATAAAAAAAGAGAAATTATACTCAATAAAAATAAAATAAAATCAGTTAACATACCTTTCCTCCAGCACATTCAATAATTTCTCTCATTGCATTTGGAGCTGGCAAAATAGAAGGTGTAACATGAAAATGTAGACCCTAATGAATAAATGCAGCATTTAGTTTTATAAAAACTAGAAGAAAAAAAAACAACAACATAAATACATACTTTACAAACTTGTCTTGTTTGAGCCCGTTGCAAAGATCGTTTTAATTTGAACCCAAAAAGCTCTTCGGACTCTGGATCAACTAGTGTATAAGGAGCTTCATCTAAGGAAGTTTTGTTTTTGGTTTTTTTTATCATGTGTGAAATTAATTAAAATTTTAATATTTGTTTTAACACCATTACAAATTTACAAAAACAATTTTAATTTACAATAAACTTTAATAAATAAAAATACAATGAAAAGGTTCAAACCTAAAAATTTTTGTGCTTCAAAAGAATCATCTACCCATGCAGGTGCAACAAGAAATTTGCAAATAGAGACTGCTGAAAGAAATTTTACTGTCCGTGTGATCTAAAGATTCATTTGAACACAAATTGTTTTTTTAACTTATCAAACAATATTAGTTGTGTTGAATATTCCAAAAAACGAGTCAACTTCATTTACAATGTTTCATTGCGTGTGATGTGATGCAGAAGGATTTCTTAAGTTGTGAATTTACAATGTTTCATTGTGTGTGATGTGATGCAGAAGGATTTCTTAAGTTATGACAAGGTTTCATTGTGTGTGATGTGATGCAGAAGGATTTATTAAGTTATGACAATGTTTCATTGTGTGTGATGTGATGCAGAAGGATTTCTTAAGTTGTGAATTTACAATGTTTCATTGTGATGTGATGTGATGCAGAAGGATTTCTTAAGTTGTGAATTTACAATGTTTCATTGTGTGTGATGTGATGCAGAAGGATTTCTTAAGTTGTGAATTTACAATGTTTCATTGTGACGTGATGTGATGCAGAAGGATTCCTTAAGTTGTGAATTTACAATAATTCATTGTGTGTGATGTGATGCAGAAGGATTTCTTAAGTTGTGAATTTTTTTTTTTTCCACAAAAAATAGTTTAAGAATTTAAAGCAAACAAAAAACAAAGTTTGAAACAAAATAATAAAACTTTATAAAAAAATTTATAAATTAGAAACCTTTGGCGCAACAAGGTGTGTACAGTCATTGACACCATGAGCCAGTTCACCATTCATTTTTTGTACATTCTAATTGTATAAAATTTAATGTTAGTATTTAAAATTATATGCATACACACGCATACATTCCCGCCATTCTTGACTAGTCATATCAAAGCTTTACTTGATTATTCACATCAAGACTTTATTTGACTCATCATATAATGGCTTTACTTGATTCATCATATAAAAACAACTTGATTCATCATATAAAGACTTTACTTGACTTATCATATCAAAGCTTTACTTAAAATGTAGTTAATTTTGTTTTTATGAATGTTTTGTATCAAACTAAATATAAAACATACATAACATATATGTAAACATGTTTAAAATTCAAAACTTGGTTAAACACTAAATGCTATTTTAAATTTTTATGCAAGTATTCTGATGTTTCTTTATTTGATCCACGACTATAATTGTTTTTGTCACAGATCTCAAGACAAAATTCTATTAGTTTTTTTTTTTGTTAGCTTTTTTTCTTTTTTTTTTTTTTCTATTTAATTTTTATCTTTACTTCAATTCTTTAACAACTTTTTAGAATATTTGAAATATTTTTATTTTTTTACATACTTTACCGTTAGATATTCAATAATTATTTAAGTATTGTATAGAAAAATAATGATGAAATCCAAAGAGACTCGTTTAATCAAAGCTTACTATCTACATGTGTAATGTACTACCTAGAGTCTCATATCGTTAGATGTAGAATCTAGGGTTGTTTGTGTACTCAAATTTTGTGTTGTCACAAGCTTTATTGTCAAATTATTACTTTGAATCTTAGATAAAGTTCAAGTATATGAATCATCAGAACCAGAATTCAGTGTTTTATTTCTTTTATTTTTGCTATAATTTTCTGAATCTCCATTGCAATGGTATCTTGAATCTTTTTTTTCTGAATCAACTTTAGCTTTCTCATATAAGCAATTTTTAGCTTTCTAGGATAAGCAATTTTTAGCTTTTTAGGATAAACAACTTTTATCATTTGCAATGCAGTAACATTTGCTAATACCTAAAGAATATAAAAATTTCAATCTTCCTAACACAACCATTTTTCAACTTATTTACATTAAGTTAGTTAAAAAGGTCACAAGTTCTGGACTTTTGAAATTGAACCTGTGCATACAGTGGGTCAGAACATACCAAAAGATAGCAAAAATAGTAAATAACATATAGTCTTATTATGCATCAGTAATTATTTGTTTTTAGGGTCAGAGAATCCATTTCTGACACTGAAATTGAGTTTTGATTTACTCTGATCAGAAATTTTTTGGTGTTGCAGATTTACTTAAAACCTTTTGTTTCCCTTCTCTGATCACCGAGATTTTTAGAAAAAAGGTTTTTATTTAGAATATATAAACATTAGGCGATGCTATATACTCCAAATATGGAGTATATAGCATCAGCAGAACCATAATGAGTTTGTCATTATGGTTGTCATGAAGATCAGAAACAAAACAAGATTCGAATAATTCAATTTTTAGTTTTTTTGTTTTTTAATATATTTTTAAAAATATTTTTGATTTATGATTTAAACTATTAGAGAAAACTTGACTTAAACAAAAATTGGCACCCTTAGCAATAAACATACAGTAATTGGCACCCTAAATAATAAACAGACAGTAATTTGCACCCTAAGTAATAAACAGACAGTAATTGGCACCCTAAACAATAAACAGACAGTAATTGGCACTCTAAGCAATAAACAGACAGTAATTGGCACTCTAAGCAATAAACAGACAGTAATTGGCACTCTAAGCAATAAACAGACAGTAATTGGCTAACTAAGCAGTACGCTATGCAACTCCCTCATTTATGTTTATCAAATCAAAGCCATAAAAAAAAGTTCTTGAAAAATAAAATTTTCGTTTATGAGAATGTTAATGACAATATTAATAGAACATGTTGTTCTCATATTTTTTGTGAAAACAACACCTTTTTGTATTCGTTCTCTAGAAGTATCAGGATTATTAGAAGAATGAAGAACTTTTTTTATATTCAAAAGAATACTCTACAAAGTAAATACAATTTTCAAAATTTTGAATTACATGAACTAACAATAAAAAAAAAAAAAAAAATAAAAAAAAAAAGTTTACAATCATAAATTACCTGGCGAAGTCGATAAACTATATTTCCAGTTAAACCTGTAAATAAAACCCGCTTGACTCCAGATGATGTTTCCAACTTTCTAAATAAACTTATGTATAGTTTAAAAAATTTATAAACTTTTTCATGCATCCACAGACATCTTTTCATACCTTATTTTTTCTTCAGGCTGATTTAAATTCTGCGTTTTTTCCTAATAAAAAAAAAAGAAAAAGAATCATGGTAAAACTTTAATAAAGCATAACACAAAAAGAAAATTATACATTTATCTCATTATTTTTATTGAATGTATATATATATATATAAATATATATATATAAATATATATATTTTTTTTCATTTAAAAAATGTTTAGTTTCTCTTTTTTTAAATTTGCTGAGTGATGCATAATCAAAAAATAAGTTATCAGGTACCATTTTTAAACCATTAGAGCTTAAGTCAAGAACTAATAAACAATAAATAAAATTAATAATAAAAAATAATAAAAGCAAAAACGTTAATAATAATGTAACATCTTTTTAAACTTAAAATAGTTGTCATTTTATACTTTTAATATAACAAGATAATAAAAACTCAATCCTTGCCAAGTTCCTGCTTGTACTACATTTATTTCTTTGTTTGGAATTATAAGATTGAGTGAAGTTTGCAGTTAAAAAAAAAAAAAAAAAAATCTTCCTTTACTGTAATGGTCCCTTGGCCTTGTTTACAACAAATAAGCAAAAGTTGAGTTTTCTCTTTTGTTATATTTATTTTTACATTTATTTATCTGATATTATCAAATTAAAACGTTACATCAGTCAACAATTTTAGCCTGACTGACTTTCACTGACTGTAAAAATCATTCATCAAAATCCAATTAGAGCAAAGTTATACAAAACAATGTTTTCTTGATAATTTATTTAAAAAAATGTGTTCTTGATATGTTATTTAAAAAAAAAACTTTGATTAACCTCTTGATAGTCTTTACTCCATGCGTCTAGACAAAAAAAAAAAAAAAATAATAATACTAATTCATGCAATAAAATTAACTAAGTTCTAGACAAAAATATACAATTATACAATTTCATGCATAAATTCTTGGCAAACAATGTTACAATGTAATTTAAATTGTTACAATGAATAATCTTCATTTTAATACATTGTTTCTTTTTTTTTTTCCATTATAAAATAACATTTATATACAAATATAATCATAAATTTTTTTTTTATAAATTACAATCCTATCATAGGATTACATAATATGTATATGTTATTCAACATATATATAAAATATTATCCTATGTATATATAAATTAAACAACAAAAGTGTATATTACTATGCTATTTATTAACAACCTATTATTGTACTATACTTCTTTACCTTAATTTCTATTTTTATGTGTTGAAGAAAACATAAAAAAAAGTTTTTTTCTGTGAAATTTTTAACTGCTACATTTTTTGAGAAACATGCTTTTCAAGAGTCTTTATCGTCAAAAAATATTATAATAGCATAGTGACTCAAACATTTTGTTAGAACCCATTTTTTGAACAAATATTTTAAAACTAATTTATTCTAGCTTTAAAAATGACAGAATTCATTTGTGTTGGTATAGTCTTGTTGCTACAAACATGCAACAATTCTGATGACTATTTTTAAAATAAAAATGTAAAAAGCTGATAATTTGATGATACATATATATAATCAAAAGTTTTAAACATATGTATCAGTGTAACAATTTTAAGCAAAGCATATCATTTTTGTCATTTTACTTCCAAAAATAAAACCCCATTCAATGTATTAAAAAATCTGTCTCCCTGAACCCAACTCCACATAACTATAATAGCATATAATAAGTAGGGAGGGAGGGTGGTAGCAAATCTATAAAAAAAAGCTGACTACTTTTTTAATGAAAAAAAAGTCCTCAAAACTAAAAACCTGCTGAAAGAAATGTCAAATTCAAATTTCAAGTGAACAAGCCATGGAGCGATACACTCCCTAAGAACGCATAATAATCGTGTCTATTTTTTTACATAACAATTCGTCTGTGGTGTTATAGCAGCACGAATTCAGGCGCTGATTCCCCGGTCATTCGGCACCAACTGGGCAAAGACTGCGCCATTTGGCCGTCAACCTTCAAGAGTATGGAACTACATGAGACATTGCCAAGAGTGGCTGTCCCTGGAGCGCCCGTTCTGCCGAAAATATCGCCACTGTTGCCAGAAACATCGACCAGACGCAGTGCCTCGCAATTAGCCATTAGCCGGTTGTCCCTAAGGCGAATTTTGATGAAAGACCTGCACACGTTCCTGTACAAAGTCCAGTCCGTGCATCAGCTGCTGTCTGTCAACTGCCAAAAGCATGTAACCTACGCCCAAGCCATCCTCACTCTTGAGCATGAAGTGGACGATTTTTCGACCAAAATCATAATGAGCAATGAGGTTCATTTCAACCTCAGCGGGTACATGAACAAGCAAAACTATTGCTTCTGGAGCATTGAAAATCCACAAGTGATGCACAAGGAGCCATTACACCCTCTGAAAGTGACTAAATGGTGCGCTGTTCATGCTGGAGGAGTCAAGGAGCCATTTTTTGTCAAGGACGCCGCTGGTCAAATGACAACAGTGGATGGTGCGTGCTATAAGGCCATGTTAACCGGGTTTTTTATTCCAAAATTAAACAAATTAGGACTGGAGGACATGGGGTTCCAACAGGACGGAACAACGGCACACAGTGCCCAAGCCACAACAGATATTCTGAAGGCGGCGTTCTTAGGTCACCTCATTTCACTTTTTTCTATGGAATTTTTTGAAGTCCTGTGTACAATGAACAAGCCCAAGACCCTGGAAGCACTTAAGGACAACATTCGACACGAGTGCGAGAATCTGTCGCCTGAAGTGATGAAAAATGCCATAAAACATCATCCGATTTGGCTAATTTTTTTTGAAAAAAATTTAGAGCCAAACAACATCGGATGACTTCATTTGTACTATTAAAAAGAAATAGTAAAAACAGCAAGCAGCTGTTTTTTTTTTGTGACTGTTTTTTATTTTTTTAATTAAAATTTCGCCACAAAAAATTTAAAACTTATTTCATGCATTTACAGTAATATAAAATTTTATTTCAATAAAGCAACTTATTTTAAAATTAAAATTTACTACAACTTGTTTCTTAGGTAATTTTAAACTTACGGTAATAAGTTAAATGAAAATTTATACATCTTAAATTTAAGATATATATTGAATTAACAAAAATTTATAGAAGAATCAATAGATTAGCTAAGTTTATAGTAAAACTTATAGATTAATTATAAATTATTTGTAAAATTAGATAACATTGAAATCTATTGATAATGAATTTATAGAAAACAACAAACATCAAAAGTTGTTGGAGTTGAAGATATCAAAGTTAATCATTAATGAAACTTTTTAAATAGCCCAAGAACAACTTACCAAAACTTTGATTATCACACAAACTGTTCACTAATAAAAATAAATTCTATCCAAAGTGACATTACCAGACAACCAAACAGATCCTTTTACGTTTAATCAACATGACAAATGTTGAAATGAGAACTTTAATATATAATATATACTATATTATAATACCAGTAAAAATTATTACTTAACTAAAAAGTTAAATAATTTAAAAAAATATATATATATAAAAATAAATATAAACAATTTTAAATTACCAGTGATGTGTGAAGAAAATGTTTGATTTATTAAAAGCTCATCGCTAAGACCAAGAGCAGTGTATTTAGATTTAGCATTAGTTGGAAATGATTGACCAGCTAAATAAAAAGAATAAAGTTTTTTTAAATAATTTTATTTAATGAATAAAAAAGAAATTATTCTAATATTTAATACCAACAAATTCAAATTACTCTAATTATTTACAATAATTCTTATTGATCTGATAGTTAAACAATTCAAACAAAGCAACTGGATGCCTTTTCTATTGTTGACCTGTTTTGCAGATCAGGTCTTAGCATTTTTATTGTGATGCTAACATTGAGAATATTACCATCTACGCTTTACAAGCTACTCTTGCCTTTACCAACAATAAATTGAGGGCTTCATATCTCCTGGGTTAAATATGCCCCTATTATAGGGTCAGCTCAAGTCATGATAAGGACAATTATATTTGAAAACTCAAGTGAAATCATGATAGCTATTTTTGTCACTCCTTTGACTAGACTTCTGTATAAATGTCCTTATCAAATCCTTATCAATCATTAACTTAGAATTAAAAAAAAATTATATAAAAAAAAAAAAATTCTGTCATTTAAATAAAAAAATGATGTCATGGAAAACCGTCCAAACTACACAAGTATGTAACCATGGATGTTAAACTTATGGATCAAACCACACAAGTATTTAACCATGGATGTTAAACTTATGGATCAAACCACACAAGTATGTAACCATTGATGTTAAACTTTAGAGCAGTTGATCAAAGCAATATAGCTATGATTCTTAACAACTTCTTTTAATCTGTTTTGTACTTTTTTTAGTTTAAGTCAATTGCTGCCAGTGTTCAAAAAACGCACAATATCCGTGATTGATGAAACGCCAGACATTAATAAATTTAGTAAGAACTACATACAATAACTACTCTCAAAACTCAACATGCAAAAAATAAATTGTGGACTGGAAACTGTTTCCACTGAATGCTACAATGGCAGCAAACTGTGTTTAACTAAACAAGCTTTAAGTGGAACTCTGAAAAAAATTCCTGGACACAACAGAGTATTTTTTTTTTTTTTTTTAATTTATTATATTCTGATTCACTCCCTCCTCAGTTACTAGCAAAAAAGAATAAAGCTATATAGCAAGAAAACGGTTGACATGAAAAAGGTTGTATGAGTCAGGAAAACATGAAAATGGGAGAGAGTTCCAAAGTGTTGAAGTGCAGGGAAAAAATTAAACAAATAAAAGTTTTTAAAGCATGCAGGAACAGATACAGTAAAAGAATGAATTTTTGCTGAATAACGAGTCAAGCGAGAATGAGTTTTAGTTGATGGAACTAGAGATGATAGCTTATTTGAGCAACAACTATGATAGAATTTGTAGAAAAGAGAAAGAGATACAACTTTACGACAATGGGTAAGAAGCTCAAGCTTAGCATATAAAACAGGTCCAAATACGTATACAATGCATTTTTGGACCTTGGACCTTGTCTAGATGAGAAAGAACATTATTAGAAGAACAAGAATGGAATCAGGAGAGCGAAAATGGCAAGCAAAATAAAGAGAAGCAATATATTGCATATATGATTTCCATAAAAAGTCAGCAGTAAACAATAATCCAAAAAGATGTAACGAAGAGAACTCAGTGAGAAGGTTAATTTAGGAATGTCAACAGTAATGTGATATGTGTTTCCAGTAAATAACTAAATTTTGTTGGAGTTTAGGTTTACAAGCTACTGTGAGCTCCAATCTATTACAGAAGTGAGATCAGATTCAAGATCGGCTGCCTGTTCTAAGCGATCGAAAAGAGAAGACTTTGTTTAAGACATGAATATAAAGTTGAGTCATCAGCAAAAAGTGCTACTTTAGATGCAAGGTTGTCAGGAAAATCATTAATGTAGATAAAAAACAAAACAGGACCAAGGACAGATCCTTGAGGTACCCCAGAAATTATTGGAAATAAAGAAGAGTGTTGGCCTTTGAGGATTCTAATAAAGCGGTTAGAAAAAAAACTCAATAATCTCAAAAACTTTCCCAGATACACCATATGATACAAACTCATTGAGAAGACCAGCATGCCAAACTTTGTCAAAAGGCTAAGATAGTTAAGCACTTATTAAATAATTTAGAGAGAATGGAAGAGAGTTCTGGAGAACAACTTTGTAAGACAATGACACGAATGTTGTCTGGGCCACAAGCCGTAGAAGAGTTTAATCGAGATATGACTTAGGCAATTAAAGCTGGTGTGTGTTTGGCAACAGAAGCCAGAAAAAAATGATTATGATTACATATAGCAGCTGCACAAGAGCATGAAAACCATGGAGTAGAATGAGGCTTCACACTGACAAGAAGGAATAAAAGCTTCCACTCCTGCCTGAATCCAGGAGATTATGAAGGAGGCACATTTTTCAGCTGAGCAGGAAACACCAGCCCAAGTACTGTCTCGAAGAAGATCACGAAAAGAATCTCAGTCAGCTTTAGGGCAGTAGTAAGAAGTGCGATAATAGGGTCCAAAAAGGAAAAGTTTACTACCTCCATAACAACACTTGTTATCAGATTGCAAAATTGATATGGCTAAAATTATTAGAGCTGAAGCAGGAAGTGTTGCTTCATTCTTTCAACTTAGCTGACTTACCACTAACAGATTTTTTTTTCCCACCATAATGCATTATATAATATTATATTAATGATTTTAATTACACACAAACACACTCACACATATATTAATAGAAATTAATATAATTAATCAAAACTAAATATAGAAATATAATAACAATGTTGAATACAATTTTTTACTTTGTAGCATGTCTCCTAGCCAACTAGCGCTAATAACAGGAATTTGCCATTCTACAGCTTTTTTAAATTTTTCACCAGCAGGTCTAAAACAAACAAGTAATTTAAAATTAAGCTGAGTCACTAAAAATATTCAAACATATTACTTCTATTAATTAATACTAAATATGCTTATATTTTATATATGTTTTATAATATTATGTGCTAGATATGAAATTAAACTGATCCTATATTGAGGCTGGTGGGGCTCTTTAGCCATGAACTCAGTTTACCTAAGAAAAAAAAAACATTCAAAATAAAACTTATTGTAGGTAAAGGGAGAAAAAGCTTGTAACTTTCCAAATAGTAATATTATTAAAAAAAAAAAAAAAATTATGAGGAATGGTCTTCAAAACAGGTTATGCAAGGTAGAGTTAAAGAAGATGCAAGGAATAATGCAAGGAAGAGAGACCTTTGAAATAGTCTTGACAGATCGGTTTAAACTAGCAGCTAACCTTGAATGGGATCCAAAAAACTTAATTGTATACTCCTAATAATTATCACAGTTTATTTATTAACAAATCTAATTTAATTATTAATAAATATAAATTATTGATACTTCCATATCAATAAAAGGCAACACTCTTACTAAATGCTCTACTTTATAACTTCTCAGACCACTAGTAATCTATAATCGAAACTATATATACAATGCATAGTCAACATCTCTCTTTATCGTGCTCACCATTTTCTAAATCTATTAATATCTTGTTTGTCCATGCATGGAATGTTGTCATACTGGTTCTTCTAATGAGATCTTTTAGACAAGGCACAAAATCATATTGTAAATGTACCTGGACCTGCTCTAGCTAAAAGGCCAAACATGATGAAATACTTAACCAAATCTTCATCATCTGTTCCATTAATCAAAATGCAAACACAAGTGAATTGTCATTCAACAAAGTTGCATTCTATAACACAAAGTTGCATTCAGTTTCTTTGTGCTTATAAAGCTTTTTATAACAACATAAAAAAACATTTCATCCATATAGTTGGAACATGGCATAAAAAACTTATTATTTAAACAAGAATTATTAAAACCCATCCAAACAACATGTGTGGATGATAAACTCAATAAGGAAAGAAAAAAAAAGATTAGCATTAGATATCAAAAATGTGTCCTGCTTAAATTTGAGGCTGCAACCCAATCTCAATTCTATAACTCAGAAACATGAACCTTGACGAACAAGTAGCCGCTGAGTGAAAAAACAAGTTGAGTGCGGTACTACCAGAGATGTGGTGAGGATCGAACTCGGAACTTCTTGCATTATGAGGTGAGCGCTTTACCACTACACCACTACTGCAATGTACTTAAAAAGTTAAAAAAAACTTACTGCAGATTCATATTTGGTATTTAATTAGTTTAGTGGCATTTAATGTTATTAATAAAAATGTAATAAAATAAAATCAAACAACCTAATATAAAAGATAAAACCATACATAACCCCAGCTATCTATAAAGATTCCAGGCATATATCTAGAAAAAATAGTTTTTGAGTTTCAAAAAAAAAATTTTTAAGCATATTTCTGTTAAAGATAAACACATTTAATTTATTTTTTATTGGAAAATTTTTGAAATAAATGAACACTAAAAAAATAATCTTAATTTTTTGATTTAAAACCATTTTTTAAAGAAATGAATGATTGAATATTTATCTACTGAATGAAAGTGATGAAATGTTTGTTTTGTTTATCATGTTTGATGTTATTTGAAAAGGTTTGATACAAAAAGTAAACATTTTACTATGCTAATGTTTGACATTGATAATTTAGTATAATTAAATCTGTTGAAAAAAAAAAAAAAAAGAAGAAAAAAAAGATAACTAAAAAAAAACTTACGTTTTACATATAAGATGTGTGTGAGAACGAGTCATGTGACCAGTATAGTGCGCACCCAAGAAGTTAATCATATGCTTGACAAGTAAACGCTCATGACCATTATATCCACTTACAGTGATGAGCTAAATTTCAATTTGCTACGATTTACTAAATTATTTGCTTTAAATAAAAACAAAAACAAAAAACAAATCCTGTTCTTACGCTATTTTGAATATCAGCAATAACTTCAGTGAAAGGAGAAGGAAGATGCAATGGAGTATTAGGAGGAAAAAACGTTTTTGCTACCAAAATATCATTCAACCAATATGCTGTAGCGATCTTCTTTTTATCTGCTAGTGCCTACACATTTATAATTTTTTAATGTGAACATCATTTTTATTGATGATAACTGTTTAATAATCAAGGCAACTTAAATAATGTTGTAAGTAAAAGTTTAAACATCTATTTTTATCTATACATCTATTTGTTATTTATACAATTATTTTTTATCTATACAACTATTTTATATATATACATCTATTTATTATCTCTATATTTATTTTTTATTTATACATCTATTTATTATCTATACATCTATTTGTTATCTATAGATCTATAAGTTATTTATACATCTATTTATTATTGCTACATCGATTTATTAGCTACACATCTATTTGTTATCTATACATTTGTAAGTTATTTATACATCTATTTATTATCGATATATCTATTTGTTATCAATATAATCATAGCATAGTCACATATAATGACATCTTGTATGTAGAAGCCATCTTACTCAGTTGTAATATGCAAAAAATAAAAAAATATGGCAGAAAAAAATCAACATTGACAAGAGATAAAGTGTATTTGATTTGACAAGTTTTGACCTGCAAAAAGACTTAAAGGCCAACCGAGTGAAGATTTACACTCTACAGCAAGAAAAAGGCTTTTTGAATATGAAGAAAGGGAGTTAGACCACAGAAGAAGCAGTTATTGACAAAAAATATGAAGAAAAAATATACTTGAGCTAAAACATACGCTAATAAAAAAAAGCGTAATTCCCAAAAATATACGGAGTTATTAGACAAAAAATGTATGAATTATTAGAAATAAAAAATATATGGAACTATTAGACATAAAAAAATATGGAATTATTAGACATTAAAAACATATGGAATTATTAGACATAAAAAATATATGGAACTATTAGACATAAAAAAATATGGAATTATTAGACATTAAAAACATATGGAATTATTAGACATAAAAAATATATGGAATTATTAGACATAAAAAATATACGGAATTATTAGACATTAAAAATATATGGAATTGTTAGGCATAAAAAATATATGGAATTATTAGACATAAAATCAAACCTGAAATTGAAAAAAGTATGGATTATTAGACATAAAATATATGGAATTAAAAGACATAAAAAATATATGGAATTATAAGACATAAAAAATATATGGAATTATTAGACATAAAAACAAACCTGAAATTGAAAAAAGTGGATGCAAATGGTGAGGAGTGGTTCAAAAGATTATGTAAAAAAAAAAAAAAAAAAAAAAAAAAAAAAAAAAAAAAAAAAAAAAACCTCTAAAAATGTTATAGAATCCATGCTAAAAATTATACTTGAATTAATAAAAAATAAGTATAGTTAATGTTTTTTTTATAGCAAAATGTGTTTATTTGGTTAAAAGGTGTTTTTCTATTTTGCAAACCCATGTTCACTTTAATTTGGACACTACTGTATATAAGGGTACAGCAAAATTTTTTTTTCTTTCTAAAAGCTTAGGAAAAGGTGTATTTTTATGTAAAATCAAACTTTAAAGAGGGTTTCCTAAAAAAAAATTTTGATCGGAAAAAGTTTTGATACCCAAATATGGACTTTTAGAAATTGCAAAAACTAGTAAAATCTAATTTGTCACATGTCCTTCATTGTATTTTACATTTTCTTTTTCATTGCAATAAAATATTAAATGCAAATAATATTTTTAAATTGTTGAAAGTTTTTTTTTTACTTTTCAAAACTATTAGTGCAGTGCAAATTCTGCATTTTTTAGAGGGAGGAGAAGGGGGTCTTCCAATTTTTTATGAGGCTCTAATGATTAAAAAATTGGATCATAACAGTTCATTATACTTTCACCAACAAAACAGGTAGTTTATCCTCTTATCTTACCTCAACAATATTTTGATAGAACTACTAAAACACTATTAAAAAAAATATAAAGTAAAAATTTATTGAAGTTAAAAATTTAATAAAATTTCTTTCTTTGTTTTAAAAACAGGTAGCCACTTTCTATGTTGAGCTCTAGCTCTAATACACCTATCTCTTGTATCTGGTCCAACTACTGACATGGATACTACTGTCACTTGTTTTACAGCACGCTTAGTACTTTAAGTATGAATTTTAATCGAAGGAGTTATTAAAGGTATCAATCTTAGTATTAACAACTTATCTCTGGTGAGCGAACAAGTAAAAACAGGTTCTTGTACAACACCATTTTCCAATTTAAATAGCTCTTGAAGAGTAGTTGCTGCAAAGTTAAGTTTAGGTGTTTTTCTTGGTCTGATTCGCATATCTCCAAAGATATCATTACCCCTTAGTTTCAAAATTCGATCAACTGCAAAATTGCGATCTTCTGCATTATTACTAGATAATAAAGAGATTAGTATACTTTCATGATTTGCATACCAAGCTCCTAACTGGATGTAGGGAGTCACAATTTCTTTTACTCTATCAGGTTGCGTTCTAAGAATTCTCAATTGAGACAGAATGTGATAGGAAGCATCTTTAAGTCTGTCTTTGACCTTTATGTCAAAAAAAAGTTTAAAGTAAAACTGTAAACAAAATACAACAAGTAACTCTAGATTTTGCAAATTTTGATCATTTAAGTCATGTTTCCTTGCCTACATAAAGACTATTCTCATGCCAGTAGTAAGCCATCTAGCATGACTTAAGGGGCCACATTGAATTACTCTAAGATTAGGTGGCAATATACCAATCTTAACTGCTTTACATAGCTTGTAACATTGTTTCTGATCTGTTGACATATTTTTTAATATTGTTTCTGGAATGTCGACAAAGCTCTCTCCATTTGAAAGAGCTTTAAATTGAGGATTATACTTCATTTTATTAACATCAGGAAGAAATTTTCTCACAGGACCTACAAATCCAGTACTACATGATGTTGATCCATCAATGCCTTCTATAAGGTGCCACAAAAACAATTCATTCGAATGAAGCACGCATATGGCTCAATAACACTTGTGACCTAACAGCTTTTCAAGATGCGTTATAGCACCACCTTTCCAACCTGTGTTACTTGAAGTACTGTCAGCTCCAATAACTAAACTAGATTCAGTAAGATTATGTTGTTGCAGCAAAATATAAACACCTTCAGCAATCTTTTTAGCTGGCTTATCTAGATTAGGTGCATTTGGGGTAAAATGGCCAAGATATCAACCACCAGGTTCTCTTATGAACAACATTATTAACAAATGATTCAAATGGGCAGCTACATCCTATTATTAACAAAGAGCAACAGTAATGTGTTGCTCTTTGTTAATGATAGGATGTAGCTGCCCATTTGAATCATTTATCATTGCTTTAGTTGAATCATTCCTTCCATTAAAGTAAATGGCAATATTATCTGCTTTTGGAAGTTTTAAATTATCATTTTTCTTCGCAACTACCATGACCTTTTTTCTTGCTCTCGTCAACTTAGAATGATCACAAGTAAGGTAAGAGAACTCAGGGATGGGAAATCCTGCTCCAATTAAATCTTGAAGATTTAAAACTTGTAGCAATTGCTGCAGTTGTGGCAGGTGAAATCCCAAACCTATAAAATAAGAATGGTTTATATTTATATTTAAACCTACCTTAAAATTTAATTTTACATAAGTATACACCTTTTCCAAAGCTTTAATTTTATTTTATTCAAAAACATATGAAACTAACTGTACCCTACTGTATATATCTAATTTAAAACTAAAGTTTAAACAATAAAATGCTTTTTTAACTTTAATTGTTTTTAGGATACAAAAAAACAAATAAAATATATTTTTCAGGATACCTAGAACAGTGTTTATTGCAAAAAAACAAAAAAAAAATGATTTGCATATATCTTTTTCAATTAACCAATTGAAAATAAATGATTTGCATAAACATTTTATCAACCAACCAATTAAAAATGCAAATAAGTATTAAAAATGCATTCAAACAACAAATAAAAATAAGCCATTATTATTTTGAATTTAAAACCTACATATTATTGAGATAACTTGTGCATATTTTTGCAGCAAATAAAGAAGACTGAGTTGGTTTACATGAAACTGGTTTTTGATACAAATAATTAAAAAATAGTTTTTATATTTCTGAAACATTTTCAACTTTAGTAAAATATTAATTTGAATATTATATAAAAATATTATCAATTCAAACCTTCTTGAAAAATGGAACTTGTTGATGTAGACAAATGAAATGTGTAACTTTATCAGAATATGTTTCTTCTATTTCACCACATGCTTTCCTTATCACCTATTTAAAAAAAAAAAAAAAAAACAGTTTCCTTCAACTAATTCATTTTTTATTTTTCATTATTCACAATCTTTTCTTAATCTCTCATTTTTCCATTCTCTCTTCAACATTCTATTTTTTCCAAATTAATAAATACTTAATAAAAATTTGTATTAACTAATTAGTTAATACAAATTAGTTAATACAAATATTAATATAAACCTTGAACTCTTGATGATTGGCGCTTATTTATCATATTTAAATGTGTAAAAAATTTCAAAATATTTAAAATTTAAAGAAACACCGTACATCTTTCCACACTTGATAAACTAGAGGCTGCAATCTATCTTCATAACCACTAAAGAAAATGACACAACCTTCAAGTAACTTTTCTGGTACTGCTTAAAAAAAAAAAAAAAAATGCAAATTTAAATAATAAAAATGAACTCCCAAAATTATTATCTGTTATGAAAAAATAGTCTTATTCAATGCATGTTATGCTATATATATATTCATAACTGCTAATTGATACAAGCCACAACCCTTATATTTTATAATTTGTATAAGTTTTATACTCAAAATCACTTTACATAGAACCAAGTAATCATGCTAAAAACAAAGATGTAATGTGACTCCTGAGAAAGCAGAGGGTTTGCTTTCAGCGTGAAGGACGCATAAGGCAAGCCTTATGCTTTTGTAATATTATCCAATATTTTAAAAATTACTAGCAAATGCTACCAGTAATTTTTGTTTTAATTTGGATAATTTTGCAAAGAGATTCTTTTACAAAAAATACATTTACAATATGTTTGGACCTTTCATAAAAGAACATAAATAACAACAGATTTCCATGCAAGAAAAAATAGAGACTTATAGAGATAGATTTATAGTGAGGCAACCTTAGCAGATGGTAATATTGAAATTCATTATATATATAAAATCCGTAAAAGGTCAGTAGTAATAATCTGAGAAGACATAGAGTAAATGACTCAGTAAAAATGTTTATCAAAAATATTTACAAGAATATCTAAATGTTGCAATAACTATTAGCAGTAACAACAAAATTTTGCTGGGATTAAAGCTCACTAACCTAAGCAGACCTAAACTTATCAAAGAGACTAACCTAAGCAGACCTCAACTTATGAAAAAGTTGAAATTTCAAGATTAGCCTGTTTATTAACAACTTTTTGTTGAGTATAAAACTGTAACATCAGTAAATAGAGCCACTCTAGAGGTAAGTCAGGAAATTCATTGATAAATAAGATATAACAGAGGTAATGAATGGAAACTTGTGGTACCTAGATGTATAAGGAAACAAAGAAAACTGATGTCTATCAAATACAACTATAATATAACAATAAAATCAAAAAAATTTAAAACATTTTTTACTCTACCTCATCTCTTGATTCTAATGATCTTTTTTGTCATCCCTAAGAAAACGGCTAACCCATTGTTAAACATCCAAACTCACACAGCTTTAGTTGCTAAAGCTATTTACTATTTAAATTTTTTAACAGCTTGAGGTCAACGCTCATGTTAAATGGCCCTAAAAAATTGTTTTCCAAAACTCTCTTAACTATTTAATAAGAGCTTTCTTGTGTGTAGGAAAATAGCACACATGGTTCCAATATTTAATAAGAGCTTTCTTGTGTGTAGGAAAATAGCACACATGCTTCCAATATTTAATAAGAGCTTTCTTGTGTGTAGGAAAATAGCACACATGCTTCCAATATTTAATAAGAGCTTTCTTGTGTGTAGGAAAATGGTACACATGCTTCCAATATTTAATAAGAGCTTTCTTGTGTGTAGGAAAATAGTACACATGCTTCCAATATTTAATAAGAGCTTTCTTGTGTGTAGGAAAATAGTACACATGCTTCCAATATTTAATAAGAGCTTTCTTGTGTGTAGGAAAATGGTACACATGCTTCCAATAACTCTAGAGATTGTTCTGATTCCTGGAAATGAATTAGACTGGAAATGAATTAGACTAGAAATAACTAGACTTAAATATTCATTGCCTAAAAAGCTATTCTCTGACAAACAATATGAATTTCAATTTTCTTGTTCTACTTGCTAACTGTTACAACAAAAAGTTTTAATTAAGCATCAGATATTAGTGGTGAGACAAGGGCTATTGCTCTCAGAATACCAAAAGTTTTGTAAAAATTTATGAAGCTGGTCTTCTTCATTAGCTTTAAAAGTATTGAATCATTTAGTTATAAATGCAAATTGGAAATGTGAGCTACATAAGAAAGACAAAAATGTTATTGACATTAATAAATTTCGCTGAACTTCTGTATTATCTTAAAGCGCCAAGAATTTTTTAAACCATCTGCAGCTTATTAGGATCCTTGCTCTGTTAATTAATTTAGAAGAAAATAAAAGTTGGAATGTAAAATCTTTTTTATTTATCTCTTTAATGTGTGTTAAATGCACAGATGAAACTAATTACCTAAGTACATTAATAACATAAAATATATTTATCATGACATATTTGCAACAAATTTCTACTGATGCTTTAATATTTTAAGCTTTTTTTAAAATTCTCTTTCTTTGGTTTGTTATAGTCTATAATATCTTTTTATATATTATGTATATATTATCTGTAACTTTATCTATAATTAACTTAAAAATGTTTTATTTTGTTTTACAGAAATTTGAAAAAGATTAAAAAATAAATAAAGTAAAATTTAAGGAGATTTTGCCACTTTTTTGCAATTTTTAAGTAATAGTAACTTGTTATAGTTTTTAACATTACATAGTTATTATTTTTTTTTTATATATTTTTTTAACATCTTTACTTTCAACAAGGCTGCAAGCAATCACTATTAGAGTTGGAAGTTACTGCAAGAGAAAAGAAGAATGAGATAATAGTTTTAGAAAGATTAAACCATAATCAAAAGCACGTAAAGGTGAATGTGAAGAAACTGAACACTGACTAGGATCAGAAACAAGACAAAAGTCGAGTAGAGAAGGTAAATGATTTGGATTGTCTGGAAAGCAAATTGGATAATAAGCTATTTGTGTTAGAGATTGAGAAAGGCAAAAGTTGTGGGCCTTAATGCCTGCAGAGTCACTGACACTAGAACCAAGCCATTCAGTGTGATATTCATTAAAGTCACTAACAACAACAATATTGGCTGAAGGATAAAGAGAAAGGGCTCGGTCAATTTGATCAGAAATAACATCAAAAAGAGTGCAGTCTTGAGAGCTATATAGAGCAAAGAGAAAGGTTATAGAGTGAAGTGATGCTAAACAAAAGCACATAAAAGAATAGTCTGTGGATTCAAACCTAGTTTCCCGACAAATGGGGGAAGATCACAAGAAGAGAAAGCTGAACTCAAATTAATCTCACAAAGAGCAAGTAGGTCTAGAGAACTTTGCAAAAGTTAAGGCTCAACAGAAAAAAAGTTACTTTGAAGACCAAGAATTATTTATTTTTCTACTAGATTATGGAAGACTTTAATTTTTGATGTTCTTTATTGATATATTTGATATTTAAAGGATTTATATCAGAGATTTTCTTTTTATACCTTATATAACTTTAATTTTTAAATTAACATTTTATATATATATGAAACAAATTGAACCAAAAATGTGAAAAAAGTTTAAATATTATAATATTAACCAATAAATAGAAAAAATAACTCAAATTTGCATATTTCAAAAAAAAAAAAAAAAAATTGTAAACACTATTTAATGCAAAATTTAATGCTAATTAAGAATATTATAAATAATATTCATTATTATTGGTGGTTAATGAAAACAATTGTTTAAATATTTTGTAGAAGTTACCTTTTTCTGAATTATCATCTACTTTTTCTAAACATTCTCTGTTTCCATCTAAAACTACTGATGACCTTGAATATTGTAATGATGGAATTGGAGCATACTCTTCCTCAGGCAAAAGACGTTCCTCCTTTGAACAGTCAACTATCCATTCAACAGTGACTATCTTAAGTTGGGCATGTTTTAATGCAAAATCATATTTTCTCTGAATTTAATAAAAATTAAAAAATAAACTCTCATTTTCTTAAGAAAATTTAAAAACATATATATAAATATATATATATATATATATATATATACATATATATATATATATATATATATATATATATATATATATATATATATATATATATATATATATATATATATATATATATATATATATATATATATATATATATATACATAATTATAATATATATATATATTTAAACAACTTAAAATGTATTCTACAAAGAGTGCTCAATGTTCTTAAAAGAACAGAGCAATTACAAATTAGTAGAAAATTCTTAAGAAAATTTAAAAATATATATATATATATATATATATACATATATATATATATATATATATATATATATATATATATATATATATATATATATATATATATATATATATATATATATATATACATATATATATATATATATATACATATATATATATATATACATACATATATTCTAAAATTAATATTATCTTATGTCTAAACTAAATTCAAGTTATTCAAGTTTTTATGTTTTTAAATTGTTAATTATATAAATTATATAATATATATAAATTAATAAATTAATTATTATATATAATTAAACAAACACCATAAAAAGTTTAAAGTATTGAAGTTGACTAAAAATTTTTAATTTATAAAAGGAATTTACAAATAATGAATAAATAATGATGTTAAAACAATTTTAATACTGACACCATAAGGCTGTCCAACAACAAGATGAGTACAATCTTTGGTCAAGTTTATCTTGTACACACCACCATGATAGACAATCATGGCAAGTAAAATTTCTCTGTCTTTTACAGGAATCTTAAAAAAAAAAAGTTAATATTTGTTTTTTATTGTTTAATCATTTTACATATAACCCCTATAAAATTTTAAAGTTATGTTATGTATTGTAACGTAAACAAGATTCATAATGTTACATGCAAAATGTCTGCTGTTTTTACATAATTGAGACATAACATTTTATGTAACACTGTAAAGTAACTCTACATGCAGAATGTTATGGTATCTTTTAATTATATTTTGTTTTTTTATATGTTTATTTCTACATGTGGAAAGAGAGAGCAATATATATAGAGAGAAAGAGCAAGAAAACCATGATTTAGTAAAAGAGTGAAGTCAAGTCAGAAAGATAATTAAGAGAGTGTAGACAGATATTGCACAGAAAATCTACACCTAATTAGCTTGTACTAATTGATGTATATAATATTATTGACTAATATCATAAGAAAGCTTGACATTTTATATACATTTTTGCTTGTGGGTTTATAAAATCTTGTGAAGTATTACGCTTGTATAATTGACAAAAAATAATGTAATGTAACATAACCAAATCTAGATATGAGGCGTAGTTAAAATAAGTCTCAAATATTTTTTGAAACATTAAGTTACATTTCAGTCTGCACTTTTTAAAAGTTGCACTTTTATAGGTTAAACTAAAATAATTGAGACTTAACTTTGCGAATTGAAACTAATTTTTTTTTCTCGTGACAAATTAAATACAAAAAAAAAAGAGTAATTAATTAAGATGAATCTATTTTACAATTAAAATAAAACGATGATAACAAGCAGTTTTAAAAAAAATATTTTTTAGTTAAAATATCTCAACAAACACATAGTTAACTATGAGTTAATAACTCTGAGTAGGGTATTTAACAAAATTATTTTATTAACAATATTATTTATATATTTGGTTATTTATGTATTTGATTGTTGAAAATTGCTTAAAAAAGTTAATTGCGAATTGAGACTTTTTTTTTCTGTGACAAAGCAACCAATTGAGACAAAGCTATTTTACAATAAAAATAAAATAAAAGATAGCATTTAGGAATACAACAATGATGAACAAACATTTTCAAGATAATTTACTTAATATTTAATTAATAATTAGAGAATATTACCTTGTTACCATTTGTAATCGATTGGGATGTAAAGTTTAAAATGTTATAGGGGTAAGAAGTCAAAAAACTATACCATAAAAAAATTGAGATAATGTTCTTTATTTTTATTTTTTTTAATGATATTTATATTTTAAAACAATTAGTGTATTCAAAACAAATTATATATTTGTATAAAATGTTAATTTAGAAGTATTGTTTTGTAAATATCTTTATTGTAAAAATTATTTTTTTAAATTTATTAAGGCAGTCCAAAAACAATTTGCAGTCTTGACACAGGGCTTAAGGGGATTAGTCACAGGACTGAAGTGTATCTGTAAGAAAATTCATGTCACTTTCCTTTAGAGATGTTGTTTACATAGTAGGAATTGAAACACTGACCTCACTGAAGCAAGCATTCTAACCACAACACTATGGCTGTTGTTAATTATCATTAACATTAAAAATGTTTATTAGAAATTACCTGTGAAGGGCAAAAAACCATATTTTGAAATAAACCATCACCCATTGGTGAAAAAGGTTTAGTGCTAATACAGATCTGTCAAGAAATATTTTTTTGAATAAAAAAGTTTTTATAAAATTCAATTTTATTTTATTTATAATATACAGCTAAGAATTTAACTTTATAACATTTTAAAACCCAAATAGTTCAAAATACAAACTTTTCAAGAACACAGATTTTTACAAGATTATCAGAGCTGCATTATATATATATATATATATATATATATATATATATATATATATATATATATATATATATATATATATATATATATATATATATATATATATATATATATATATATATATATATATATATATATATATATATATATATATATATATATATATATATATATATGCACCTGAAGTTAAAAAAAAAGTAATAAAAATTTTATTACAATACCAAATAATTCCAAATAAATAAAAATTAAAATATTTTTAAAATTAGATAAAAGGAAACAAAAAAGGGAAAAGATACGGTAACATTGTTCCACATTTAACTGACATATGCACCCAATTAGTCTAAAAATAATAAAAAATACTTGATTATATGTTTAGAAATTTAATAACTGTAATAAAAAACTTTTTTTTAAGTAAAATGATAAATGAAACAAAAGCCACAAATAAACTTTTAATATTTAAACATAAATTCACACTGGAAAGATACTATTAAAAGCTACACACATAATAGTAGTTATAAGTTATTTCAATAAAAAGTATAAAACATTGTTTGTAAAATCATATTTTTTTTATTTCACACAATATTGTTACAAATCAATGCATTGAAAGATTCGTACTTTTCTCATGTTCTTCATTCTCCCATTCTACAGCGTCCTTTATCCTACTTCTACTAGTTTAAAATATACTTCCAGTATATTTTAAAATCATCTATGAAATTTTATCTTGAAATCTAAGTAGTTTGCACTTACTTTTTTTTACTGACTTCCTGAGGCCACTAGAGGCACTACTTATCTTTTTTGATACAGCCCTCTCTATTCAAAATACAAACTTCGACAAGACTGGTGTGCAGAAAAACATGTTGAGCACTAGTACGTGACCGGGACTCCGGCCCCGTCCCTGGCTGAAAATATGACTTTTTGGAAACCTGGCTTTGGCCCCAGCCCTGGAAAATTATAAGATTTAATAGGTGTTGATAGCTAAGGCTAGAAAATTTTTTTTTTTTAATTTTTAAATTATAATTTCATGCTTACATTTACTATTTATTAAATACTGGCATATATTTATATATTTCTAACTCTACTTCTAACAAGATTGCAAGCAACCACTATTAAGTTATGAGAATAAGTTAAAATACTAGAAAATGGTTAACTGAAAACTTAAAAAGTTGTAGGTTGTATAAAAAAGGAAAACATGAAAATAGGTAAGAGTTTTTTGATGTACAAGGAAAAAAACTAGATTAATTAAAGTTTTTATAGCATGAAGGGACAAATACAGTAAAATGATACAACTTGTTGATTAAGAAGCCACATAAGAATGAGTTTTGATTTATTGTAGTAGAGATAGCTCATTTGGCTTATCGTAGTAGAGATTTTCTATAAATTTTTCTACTCAATTTCTACAAATAATATCATTCGCCATGATAGTATTAGTAGAAAAAAGAAAAGAAATGCAACCTTACAACAATGGGAGAGTAACTTAAGCTTGGCAAATAAAGCAGGTCTAATAACATTTACAATGTGCTTTGTTTGAGAGTAAGAGGGTTGTTATGCATCAATATAGGAATGTTTTGCTGCTTAACAAAAATTGTGAATTTTGAGTCCAGAATTCAAGTCCATAAAGCACTGTAAGCCTTTGGCTGTTACAAAAGATAGATCAGATTAAAAATTGGCTGCTTGTTCTAAGCAATCGAAAATAAGGCCACTTTAGATGTAAAATTTTCATGAAGACCGATATTGTAGATAAGAAACAATACAGGAGCAAAGATAGAACCTTGTGGAACTCTTAAAGTTACTTGAAATAAAAAAAAAAGTAGGCCTTTAAGAATAACTTTAATACTGCAGTTAGAAATAAATAAATCTCAAAACCTTTTTATAAAAAAAACAACAGAGTGAAGACTATTCGTAGTATAATTGGAAAGGTCAAAGTGTTTTCTAGAGTTTTGCAAAACTGGAACTACTTATTTAGCAATTTTTAAAAATTTAGCAAAAATTGAAGAGAGTTCTGGAGAACACTTTTTTAAGACTATGATGGAAATCTTGTCTGGAGTACTAACTGTAGAAGTGATTAATTGAAAATTAATTTAAGCATTGGAAGCCAAAGTGATTTCGATGTTTAACAATGGGTTAATCTGTTTAACTGTTAGGAAGAGTGTGTCCATTATATTCAAGAGTCAAATTAGAGTAAGATTTCTTTGCAAATAACTCTGTTTTATTCTGGGGAGAAGTAAAAAAATCAGACCTATAAATTAGAGATTAAATATAAGACTTACTTTAGTTAATGACACTAATGAAGACTGACCAAAAGTCCCTATATCTGTTATAAGATACAAAATTTAATAAACTCAGAATAACAGAGCTTAACATCAGACAGGACATTTGTTCTTAAGAGAGATGTTCTTATAAAAAAGATGTAAAATATGATTAAAGTTTAACCAAGCAACTGGTCAAGATGGTGAAAATTGTGGAGTAGAATGAGGGTTGACTTAAAATCGAAGAGAAGGAATAAAAGCTTTTAAACTTTTATTCCAGAAGGTATAAAAGCTTCCAAGATGTGCTTTATGCATACATATTATGAATATAAACATACATATTTGCCATTTATTTAAATGCTGGCATACAATATCCTTACATATTTATATAAACTTTAGTACTTATATGATGTGGTATTTGCCAAAAAAGAAGATGATCAGATGATGATCTTGACCATAATAATGATGCAGGCTTAGACAGGAATGGCGTGCGATCGAGCGCTATTGCTGACCACGCAAATGATTTTATTTTTTGACAACTTGACCACGATTGTTTAATAAACAATGTTTATATGTTTTAATGAGTTAAAAATTTCAGAAATGTTCTGAATGTAAAAACGCAAAGCTAAATTTAAACTAGGAAAAAAATTAAAAATAAAAAATCACGAAAAAAAAGTTCCTAACAAAAAAAGAAACGGAAAACAAATTGATAAAGAAAAAGAAATTATATAAGCTAAAATGAAAATAAAAACTTAAATTCGAAGCAAAACTTTTTGTCACGATTTTAATTACGTATGAAATAAACGTTATTAAAGCTTATCTTTTTAAGCGTTATTAAAGTTACGCAAAATATTTTTAAATTAAGTAACAAATTACTACCAATGATTGGTTTAATAAAAGAACAAATTTTATTAAATTAATTAAAAAGTGTTTTATATAATATTTTTAAATTGTATAAACATTTATTTTGTCAAAAAAGTTGCAAAAAAAATTATTGTTTAAAAAAATAACGTAGTCTTTTTAAAATAGTAATTTTAATTTTATTTCATGTTCTAATTAGTGAGTCTATTTAAAAAAAAGGTTTTGAACCTTTTTATTTGTAAAAATAGAAAAATAAATAAATAAATAAAATGCGCCTGCAATTTAAATAAAATAAGCTTTTTAATTTAATTTTAATTTAAGCATTACAACTTTATTAATAAGCGCTTTGCCTAACGAATTTAAAAATTGTTATAAAAGATTTAATTTCATGCATTTCTAACGAAATTGAAAAAAAAAAAACATTGTTTACAAAAAATAAAATGTTTAAAACATTTTAAAAAATCGTAAGTTTAATCATAAAAATTAATCGTATGAACATTACAAAATGCTTTAAAACTTTTTCATTAAATTAACAAAATACATGCTTATATAAGTAAATAAGGTTATTTTATATTCTTGTGTAATTCACATAAAATGTGTAAAAGTTAGTAGTCACAAAAGCTTTTGAACTTATTCACAAATTAAGTAACTTAACAAAATTATTTGTAAAAATAATGGTTTAAAAATGTTTTAGGAAGTCATGAGAAAATAGTTTTAAACATTTAAATTTATCATAAAAAATAAATGCCTACATAAAAAAAACTTATTAATAACGTTTTTTAATAATTTACACAAGCGTTTATGTAAACAATAACTATAATTAATTTTATGGTATTATTTAAAGCCTTTGCGTAAAATAAAAAACTAAAGAAAAGATCAACGATTAAAAGATATTTATAACATAACACTTTTTTTATTGCATTCAAATTGTTAAAACATCAAAATAGCCGTGGTCAAGTTGTAAAGAAATAAAAATATTAGCGTAGTCAGTTACAGAGTGCGATCGCACGCCATTCCTGTCCAAGCCTGATGGTAATGATGACCATGTTAATAATAATGATGTTTATATATGCATATATATAAAAAAATATAACATGAATTTTAAATTAAAAAAAAACTTTAGGATGTATAAATGTTTATGCAGCCCCCGTCACAAACCCGGTCCCTGCCCCAACTATATTTTATCAAACCGAGGCCCAGCCGTGGTCAAATGTTAACCCCGGTTGTTTACTATTGAGCACAGCACTAACAGAGACGTAATGGATATTGAAATTGGTTAAGTTTTTAAAATTTTATCAATGACTATTTTGATTTTTAAAGTAGTAGTAGTAGTAGTAGTAGTAGTAGTAGTAGTAGTAGTAGTAGTAGTAGTAGTAGTAGTAGTAGTAGTAGTAGTTCCCTGTACAACCTACAGGTTATGGCAGCCTTATCTACTTTATACTCTAATTTTATTTATATCAATATATACAAATTTACATATACATATAGTCATTTTATTTTTAAGTTATAATCTTGATACTTGTGTGGATTATTTATAATTTCAGCATCGATCTGAGCCTTGAAACTGTTAACAGATGAAGCACATACAACATCTGATGGCAATACATTCCAACAATTCACTATTTAATTTGTGAAAAACCTTTGTTTGCAATTTTGAACAAATTCTTAGTCATTTTTAGATAACGTCCTCTAGTTTTATTTTACTTGACACCTCAACAGGAATAACATGGGGTTCATATGACAATGTCTATCTTGCTGATAATTTTTAAACACCTGTATCAGATCTTCCCTAATGCGACAGGTTTCTAAAGAAGTTAAGTTTAGTATACTCAGACAATCTTTGTATGACATATAACAGTATGAAGGTATTTAACAGGTAGCTCTTCTTTGTACTTTCTCAAGTTTATCAATATCTATTCTTGACAATGGATTGCTGGCTGCTACCATGATTTCTAGATGAGGTTATACAAAGGCTGTGTATAGAATTTTAAGTAGTTGCGGAGTCATGTGACTGAAAGTACAATATAACATGCCTAATCACAGTTGTCTTTATTGGTTACATATGTTGAATTGTTATGCCATTTCAAGTTTGGCAACATCAATGATGTTGGGCATCATGATTCGACTAAAGTCGATGCTAATTCAACACTATTGTTATTAGCTGGCATTGAGTAGACATAAAAATGGATTGATTTACCTATGTGCATGATTTTACATTTATCAATATTGAGTTTTATTTGCCAGGTTTTACACCCTTGAGTTTGTGAATTCGTTGCTTGTGGGGAACCATATCAAATGCTTTACTGAAATCTATAAAAGCTAAGTCCATAGATACCTTGTCAGATAATGCTTTTGAAATCACGTCAATTGACTCCAACAAATTAGTCACTAACACACTTTTTTATTGACGAAACCATGTTGATTTTTTGAAATAAAACTACGTTTGACTAAATGATTGACCATAGTGTCACATAATATTTTTTTCCATCACTTTACATACAATTGATGTTAAGGATATAGGCCGGTAATTGCCTGAGTTGAGTCTACTTGCTTTTTTTAAACAGTGGTGTTAAATTAGTCTTTTTCTATATTTCAGGACAAAACCCACTAGCTAGCGACTTTTGAAAAATAGTTCTTAAAGGTATCGAGAAGCTGTCAGAACAGTTCTTCAGTACATATACGCTTACAACATACACACCAATGATTTTATCAAATGATAAATCGCTTAGTTTGTTTTTAACCAGATTTTGTATTATTTGCAAGTATTTGCAGATGGTTTCAGTTAACACCACAATAATGTAGTATTTATATTTAAAAAAAAAAAATATATATATATATATATATGTATATATATATATATATATATATATATATATATATATATATATATATATATATATATATATATATATATATATATATATATATATATGTATATATATATATACCTATACATATATATATATATATATATATATATATATATATATATATATATATATATATATATATATATATATATATATATATATATATATGTATATATATATATAAATGTTGATATATTAATTTAATGAAGAGACTTTTCCAAGAATCTCTATGCTGGTTTAACAGATTTTACTTTTACTTCAAAATCCGAACTTTAAATGTTGTGATGTCAGATTCAGACTTTATGATGCCATTAATTTACAGTCATCAGCATATAGCATTATTGATTGACAGAACTAGAGATAATGGTTTCTTTGTGCAGCGACGATTATTGTATTTGTAGATGCAACTTTACAACGATGGGAGAGAGACTCAAGCTTGGCAGATAGTTATTAAATTTAACTGGTCTTTTAAAATCCTCAAAATCATTTAGATTTTTTATATAAATTCAAAATGACTTAGTTTTTTTTTTTTTTAATTGTTTTATACTGTTTTTATTATTTAAATTTTTTTGTTTTATTGACTGATTTATTTACAGATAGGCACTGTAGA